TGAAAAAAAATGTTAAAAAAAAAAAGGTTTAACACAAGTAAATGTAATACACCTTCCTATCTATATACTAACACTAGCAATATAAGAATTAAAAATAGTGTTGATTGAGAAAATAAAGCTCTATGTTAATCGTGGGTGAAAAAACAGTGTTCCCTTCCTATACAGTGAGGTTACATTCGCACTAGCCTGCATGGTAAATATCATGCAGGGCTGGTGCAGTGCCATTTCTGGCAGAGAGTAGTCCTATACGTGTTTCACCTTCACTTCCCTCACTTCCTCTGCTGAGACATAACAGGAAGTGATACAAATCATTCCACATTTACTCCCTTAGACCAATGTCACTGGAACAAAATGTCCCCAATAGAAGATTTCCCATCTCTTCCTGTTCTGGAGACAATTCTAAATTTTTAATTTTCCGTCTTGTCATCAGGACAAATAGAGGTGATGAAACTTCCTAGTAGGCACAGAAAGAGCAGTTAAAAACATTAATCCATCACCACTGTTTTGGAAATTAAAAAATAACTACTGCAATAGGGAACAGACACAAAAAGATAGAACCAACATCTTCCCATATAACTGTTCTGTTTATTTGGCATATTTAACTTTTTTTTGTATAACTATGCTTATGTAGGAATCACATTTGTTCTGTCTCTCCAATCTAAGCATTGAAAGTGTGATCTCTGTAACTTACAACTGTAATGAGATAGCGATAACTCCAATCTTATTTGAATAAACAGGCAGTGACTCGATCCAGATGACACCTTGCAGAGTTTATTCCATAAACTGAGAGAATCTTACAACAATGAACATCAGATAGGTCAAAAGATCATAATGTGATCTACTCCATAAGACATGAGGCTAGAAGCTGAGGTGCATTACTGGGAAGATGAACAAAGGGGTGGAGCTATCTATACAGCATGAACTAAACCAAAGGAAGGGGAGGAGCAGAGACAAAAGAACACTTGAAGGCATATGACAGTAATGTGAAACATGACAACATTAATATTACAATTGTGCTTTTAAGGTACCAAGGGGCATAGCTGAAGTAGTATACGGGTAGGAACGTTTCTTATCAGACTCTAAAGAATGTGAATATGTAATAAAAACATTATTAGTGTGCAGTGTGAGAAATAGAAGTGTAGCCAGGTGCCAGCTACAATAATCTGAATGCAGTGGACATTACCTTCATTGCTGCAGACTGTTCCAGTTTTCCCTCTAATGCTGTACTTAGACTGCTTGCATCATATTCCTTAGTCCAGAAGGAAAGGACAGTGGGACTTGTATTATTTATTTATTTCAGGTACTTATAATAGTGCTGTCAATTTACATAGCACGTTACATATATATTGTACATTCACATCAGTCCCTAACCCTCAAGGGGTGTACAATCTAAGGTCCCTAACTTACATTCATACATACACATACTAGGGCCAATTTAGACAGGATCCAATTAACCTACCATCATGTCTTTGGAGTGTGGGAGGAAACCCACACAGGTACAGGGAGAACATGCAAACTCCAGGCAGGTGGTGCTATGGTTGGGATTTGAACCAACGACCCTAGTATTGCCAGGTGGAAGTGCTAACCACTAAGCCACTGTGCCGCCTGAAGTCTTGTGTTCAGTCATATCTGGACTCCTGAGTCTTCCGTAGACTACATCTCCCAACAAGCTACTAATCGAGAAGGGACATTATGGGAAAGGCTATTTAAAGAACTGTGTTCAGTGGGCCCTCTCTCTCTTCTCCCCCGAATCCATCTGCATACATCAGAGGTGCCATCCTGCTGCTGAGCTTATGGCCTACCCAGAGCCTTTGAGCCATGTCAGTCCCTGCAAAGGTGAGCCTGCACCGCTGTTCAGAATTAGGAGACCATCTGTCACTGCGCTGCGGGCGCCAACCTGGACTGACGTGTTCACATTCAACCAACCTATCATATCTATCCTTCCACTGGCTGGAGTGCAGACCCTGCATCACTATCTGTGTGTGTCGACTACCTCCAGGATCTGGTGGTCAGCCTTAAGCATAAATCCCCTTCTCTTCTGCAATACTCAACACATGGACACTGCATGCAGACATCATAATCTGGATCACAAAGAGACTTTTGCTATACCCACTACTTGCTTGCTGATTGTTTAAATCTCTTTTTCCCCCATTGAGGATATTTCCTTCACCAACACTAAGCTCCAATGTACCGGCGAAGACTGTGCCTGACGCTTATCTCATCTGCAGGGTGAGAACTGGCCCAAATCGAGTTTAACCCTTCACCATAGGATTAGGATTCCCAACAGTCAAGCCTTCTCTAGTTATAACCCCCTTCCACCCCTTCCACCAGCGAGTCCTCTGGGTTCATTCAGTTATTTAGTATCTATCACTCTCTGCATTTTAAAAGGGTTAGTTCACCTTTACCAAAAAACTGCCTCCTGTATATATACGTAATTTTGCATTTCCGGGTAGGGGGCGCGGATGTCAATCACCAGGTCCCGGCCAGTAATTACCCTCCGGCGCCCGGTGATTACTGAGCATCTCCGACGGGGAGGAAGATTATTTTGTTTACAAACAATCTTCCTCCCTGTCAGCTCGAGCACATTGCTAGGGATGGCTGTGCAAAGTACAGCCATCCTGATCAGTGTGCTTACAGTGAAGAATACCACCCCCTAGTAAAACACTCCTAGCACACAGGTAACCCTTTGATTGTCCTTCACATTAACCCCTTCCTGCCTGGTGCCATTAGTACAGTGTCAGTGCTTTTTTTTAGCACTGATCACTGTATTGGTGTCACTGGGATGTCAATGACACCAAGTAAGTTCCCCCCCCAGTGTCAGAATGTCAGCCGCAGTCCTGCAGTCCCGCTAAAAGTCGCTGATCACCGCCATTACTAGTAGAAAAAAAATCCCATTATACCGCCATTTGTAGATGCTATAACTTTCACATAAACCAATGAATTTACACGTATTGGGATTTTTTTTAGCAAAGACATGGAGCAGAATACATTTTGTCTTAAATTTATGATGAAATTTGATTTTTTTAAATTTTTTTACTGGACATGTTTAATAACAAAAAGTACAAAATATTGTTTTTTTCTCAAAATTGTCGATCTTTTTTTGCTTATAGCGCAGAAAATAAAAAATGCAAAGGCGATCAAATACCACTGAAAAAAAGCTCAATTCGTGGCAAAAAAGGATGTAAATTTCATTTGGGTGCAGCGTTGCATGACTGTGCAATTGTCAGTTAAATTAATGCAGTGCCGTAATGCATCAAATGGCCTGGTCATGAAGGGGGGTAAACCCTCAGGAGGGCAAATGGTTAAATTGATACACTTAGATGGCAGCGCCTTCTGTTTGCTTATTGTTTTGCCTAGAAGATGAATAGGTGATGCACTTACTTTATTCCTCACTTGCTCAGGCTTCCTCTTTTTCATGTGACCAGTCCCTTGAATCCTTTTTCCCTCATTGTCCAACCAGTTGCAGCTCATTGATGTAATTTCATACAAGGTAGGACCAGCAGTCCTGCATTGTACAGTACTACAAGGACCCATCCACAACCTGGGGCGCAGTACAATGGAGCAGAACACCAGCTATTGAGGGAATAAAAAAATGAGGTAAGTATATCAACTAATTCATCAACCCCTAGTCAAGACAGGCAGGTAACCTTTAAGCTGGTCATAAACAGGTCATTTTTTTTAAAAAAAATCTAGTGGGCTAAAAAAAAATGAAAAACAAAACAGATTCCTCCAGCTACTCAAGCAGAAGACGGATGGAGGAATTCCCCCTGCCAAGACATTGTACTCTGACAGCAGGACCAGCGCTTTCAAAATACACAGATCAGTGGATGAAACCAATTGGCCGCAGCCACTGATCGAGAAACGTTTTCCAGCATGTCCCTTCGACAGCGGTCGATCAATCAATCATCTTCTGTCGAACAGAGACGGCAATACACAGATTAAAATTTAGATCCTTCAATGGCCAGCCTTACAGTAGTTAGGGGGACACGCTACAAGAGGAAATATTTGTTCAGCTTTTAAGTAACATCTACTCATCATCAACACGTTGGTAGATACAGACTTAGCTATGAAGGGTGAGTTTTGGCTGGCTGTTTATCCTATGAACATCTTTTTCCCTGATATTGTCTGTATCTGACCTTTTTTCACCTCGGTGTTATGTTTAATATACCAAGAGAGAATTGGATGTGTAATGGGAACACCTGAATCCCGCTACTGCACTGGCTGAAACGGGTCACATCCTTGGTGGCCTTTTCATCCATTCAGAGCTTACTGCAGTAGTAGCATGACCCCAGAACAAGCACCATGGCTTATATGTTTCTTTCTTCAACTGGGATACATTTTTATAAAAAAACATTTTCACTTCAAAACTTTTACATTTGAATTCATTTTCTCCAGTATCCTTGTATATCTCAGTAGATCAATCCATCGTAATTAACAAACATCGAACACATAGCTTCACTAACTACACAGACATCCATAATGGAAATATAATACGGCTTTTTAGCTAGGAATAATAATGCTGATGTAATTGACAGAATCCAGCCTCCTACTCTACATCGAATATCAACTGACAGCCTGCTGACTTATTGATAATGCAATTGATAAAGTAAATAGTAACCCTAAATGGATGAAATTTAGTTTGATTCGCCACTGTGGGGGAGATTTACTAAAACTTGAACACTCAGAATCTGGTCCAGCTGTGCACGGTAGACAATCAGCTTCTAACTTCACCTTGTTCAGTTAAAGTGTTACTAAACCCAGGGGCCTGCATTCACTATATCTGGTCTTCCACAGGAAATGCAATTATTGTAGTAAATATAAAGTGCTAAATATCTTTTCTCATCAGCAGTATGTAGCAGTCATGTGACTTCTATCAGTGTCCAGCTGAACACTGATTAATGCTTGTAGGATGAATTTTCTTTCTCCTCTGTCTGTCCTATGAGACTGCATGACCCCTGACTCTTTGTCTAGACAGGGCTTATTGACCCTGCACTGATCACATGCACCCACCCAAAGGAAAAAAAACTCTAGCAACACACACTAAACTGAGCATGTACAGAGTGTTTTCTAGAGCTCTGTATTGTCAGCGGAAGGATTGGGGACAGTAGAAGAAGGGGAAGATCAGAGAAGACAGGATCAAACAGCCTTTTAACACAATGCGGAGGATTAACCCTTTAGGTTCCACTGTGAGTATAAAAAGCACACTTTAGTGCATATACAGACTGATTTTGCTGTTGTGTCCCCCCCTTAGTAAACACTTTAACCTCCTTAGCGGTTTTCCCGAGTGTAGCTTGGGGTAAAATTTGAGTACCAAGAGCGGTAACCCCGAGCTACACTCGGGCTTACCATGCGGCGTTCCTCAGGGAGTCCTTGCAGCACTTACCTTGTCCTTCGCTCCCGCGATGCGTCCCCTGCAGCATCCCCGGCAATCTCCTCCGGGCGATGCTGGCATCCGGCTTCCGTGTTCCGGTCCCTGTGACGTCGGGACGTACGGGCGCCAGAACCGGCGGCAAATTTGAAATTTTAAAAAAATTTCATTTTTGCTGTCATTGCTGTTTCAATGCATTTCACATATATTTTGTCCCTACTGCTTTGTCCGGCGCCCTGCCTGCATTTTGACTGTTCTTTGTGCCTGGAAACGTAGAAAGGTCCATGGCGTCCAAAAAGCGTCCCTTTACGTCAAAAGCGGTTTAGACCGGCTAGAGAACAGCGATAGTAAATCAGAACCACTTGCAGAATTGAGTGATAATGATTTGTGGGGAAATTCGTCATCAGACACTGAAAACGATTTAGTGACTTTGCTCAGCGATGTGCGAATTTGCCTCTGTATTTCAAATTTCAGTGTTTTTGGTTTGATTATATTATTGAATCAAATGTATTATTATTATATTATTATTTTTTATGATTATTTATTAAATTATAATTTATGATTTCGTGTTTCAAGTTTTATCATATCCGGAAAGTTTACTAGACTCTTGTTCAGACAGATTTCAGTGAGTTATTCCTAAAAATTATAGCCTACAATAAAAAACTACATATTTCCATGCAAAAAAATTGTACCGCTTTCAGCACAAAAAATCGGAAAGAATCATACCGCCAGGGAGGTTAAGCTTTGACAATAAAACCTGGGAGCTGATTGGTTTCTATGCAGAGCTGCACCAGATTTTGCACCATGCAGTTTTACTAAACAACCCCCTGTGTGCCATATATAACTGTTGCCTTTTTTTCTTTTGTAATAAAATATGGTTTTCATACTTTTCTCTATCTTTGTTTACGTCCCTTCGACAGCGGTCAATCAATCGATCATCTTCTGTTGAGCAGAGACGGCAATACAGAGATTACAATTTTGATCCTTCGATGGGCAGTCTTACAGTAGTTAGGGGGACACACTACAAGAGGAAAGAGTTTTTTTTCCTTTGTGTTTAGCTTTTAAGTAACATCTTCTACTCGTCAACACGTTGGTAACAGGGGCAGACTGACCATTTGGAAACTCGGGCACTGCCCGAGGGCCCGGGGTTCAGTAGGGGGCCCCATGAGATTCCCCTGGTACCTTTTTCATAGGCTTTTTTTAGTTTGGGCAAGGACACAGGGGCCCCATGATCCCCTATTGCCCGGGGGCCCCATGAGTTGTCAGTTCGCCCCTGGTTGGTAAATACAGACTTAGCTATGAAGGATGGGTTTTGGCTGGCTGTTTATATGTACGTTTATCCTATGAACATCTTTTTCCCTGATATTGTCTGTATCTGACCTTTTGTCACCCGGTGTTATGTTTAATATACCAAGAGAGAATTGGATGTGTAATGGGAACACCTGAATCCCACTACTGCACTGGCTGAAACGGGTCACATCCTTGGTGACCTTTGCATCCATTCAGAGCTTACTGCAGAAGTAGCATGACCCCAGAACAAGCACCATGGCTTATATGTTTCTTTCTTCAACTGGGATACATTTTTTCGTTAATGTTTTTTTCACTTCAAAACATTTTCATTTTAATTCATATTCTCCAGTATCCTTGTATATCTCAGTAGATCAATCCATCGTAAACAACAAACATCGAACACATAGCTTCACTAACTACACAGACATCCATAATGAAAATATATTACAGCTTTTTAGCTAGGAATAATAAAGTCGATGTAATTGACAGAATCCAGCCTCCTACACTAAATCGAATATTAACTGACAGACTGCTGACTTATTGATAATGTAATTGATAAAGTAAATAGTAAGTCTAAATGGATGAAATTTAGTTTGATTCGCCACTGTTAGGGAGATTTACTAAAACTAAAACACTCAGAATCTGGTCCAGCTGTGCACGGTAGACAATCAGTTTCTAAAGTGTTACTAAACACAGGACCCTGCATTCACTATATCTGGACTTCCACAGGAAATGCAATTATTGTAGTAAATATAAAGTGCTAAATACCTTTTCTCATCAGCAGTATATAACAGTCTTGTGACTTCTATCAGTGTCCAGCTGAACACTGATTAAAGCTTGTAAGAGGAATTTTCATTCTCCTCTGACTGTCCTATGAGACTGCATGACCCCTGACCCTATGTTTAGACAGCGCTGATTGGCCCTGCACTGATAACATGCACCCAACCAAAGGGAAAAAAAATCTCTTTTGCAACACACACTAAACTGAGCACGTGCAGAGTGCCTCCTAGAGCTCTGTACCATCAGCGGATGGATTGGGGACAGTAAAAAAGGGGAGGATCAGAGAAGACAGGATCAAACAGCCTTTTAACACATTGCGGAGGATTAACCCCTTAGGTTCCACAGTGAATATAACAAGCATGCTTTACTGCATATACAGAGTGATTTTACTGTTGTGGGTTTAAAAACCTGGGAGCTGTTTGGTTTCTATGAATCCCGCTACTGCACTGACTCAAACATGTCTCATCCTTGGTGACCTTTTCATCCATTCAGAGCTTTGACAGAATCCAGCCTCCTACTCTACATCGAATATCAACTGACAGCCTGCTGATTTTTTTTTTTTTAATTTAAATATTTATTCATTTTCAAATATGACAATACAAAATCCAAAAAGGAAATACAAAAACATTCTCATAAAACCCCTTATTTTATATCATTTTCCTCCCCTTAACCCCCTTCCTGCAACCCCCCTCCCCTCCTCTTCAGTGGCCCCTGACATCTATCTGATCAACTTTTATCTCACATTCTCTGGATACAAAGATTTAAAAGAAAGAAGGATAAATTTATATATATTTTCTTTTTTGTACTTAATTATAAATGTATTTATTTCACCTTTACCTTAAACTCCTCCCATTTCTCCCATTTCATATAATATGCCTCCATTCTATCTTCCTGTGTATAATATAATTTCTCCAATCTAGCAATCTGATCCACCCTACTCATCCAATCCTCTTCCCTCAACTTTACACAAAAACCTAGGTATCAAACATTTTGCTGCATTTAGATAGCACCATATACCCAGCTCTTTATATTTATTCACTGGTATTTTCGTATTATAAAAAAGGCAAGTTTCAGGGTCCAGTCCAATCTCAATTCCAGTGATAATCCTAATTTGATATATAACCTTTCTCCAAAATACTTGTATTTTTTAACATTCCCACCATATGTGAAACATCGTGCCCAGCCCTCCACACCCTCTCCAACACCAAGGTTGTTTCTCCCCACTCATCTTGTGCTCTATCGTCGGTGTAATATACCACCTTATCAAACATTTGTAGTTCATTTCCACCTCACGCATACTGACATTCTCATGTACCAATCTATATATTTTTCTTTGTGTGCTCCTCTCACTCCACCCCTAGATCCTTTTCCCATTTTTGCTATGTACCTTAATTTTACCTTATTATCTAAATCGGTGAGAATTTTATATACTTTAGCCTGCTGACTTATTGATAACATAATTGATAAAGTATATAGTAACCTTAAATGGATGAAATTTAGTTTGATTAGGCACTGTGGGGAGATTTACTAAAACTGGTGCACTCAAAATCTGGTGCAGCTTTGCATGGTAGCCAATCAGCTTCTAACTTCAACTTGTTCAGTTAAACTTTGACAATAAAACCTAGAAGCTGATTGGTTTCTATGCAGAGCTGCAGCAGATTTTGCACCATGCACCTTTACTAAATAAACCCTTATGTGTCATTTAACTGTTCCCTCTTTTCTTTTGTAATATGGTTTTCATACTTTTTGTTATATATCTCAGTGTTGCGTTTTTTAGCTACTTCCTGTCTACATGCACCCTCTCCAGTGTCAGCGAACTGGGTGCTAACACAAGAGCAAATCTGGGAAACATTTGTCACCCCGTATCTGGAAGTGGCAGGATCACCAGCTATTTTTATGCAATCTGCAGATTTAAAAAGCAAACATTTATCAATAGATTCCTTTTTTTGGCTCTTTTCATCTGGTGATCCAGCCAGCGATTCTGCTGTTTTTCAAAAGTTAAAGCTCTCCAGCAGCATGCATCAGTTTACATGGATGAGACAATCCATTTACCACTGATGGGTGATTAAAATGATCAGTTGTTATTTAATCATACAACATTTTTATCCCAAAAGGAAAAAAATGTTTGCTGTAACTTTTTATACATTGTTAGCTGGAGTTTGGCTTCAATTTGCCACTGTATTCAAATCTGCTAATACATATAACACTCCCCTTCCCCCCAGACTGACACTGCTGCAGTCTGCTTTGCCCCCTGTGGTTATTCTTCCTGTGTAGGGGCACTCTAATACAGGAGGTGTGTTAAGGCCTGATCACTAGGTGAAAACAGAGGAGAAAAAAGACTAAAAAAAATTAATGCAGCCATCACATCGAATGATTGGTAATATAATACATTTTTGGTTTTGAGTATAATACTGCTTTAAAGTTATTATACCATGTTATAGATTTCCTGAGATTTTACTGGATGGGTTTAGATCTACTTTAACCCCTTGACGCCGACGTCACACAAATAAGCGGCCTCACAGAACTGGGCTTTTTTCCATGGGGCCGCATATTTGAGTACCTGTCTCTGTGCTGGGAGCGCGCCGCACTGCGCACTCCCAAAACAAAGACCGCAGTGTCACTGAGAGCCCCGAGTCCTGTTCTAACGATCGGGACAAGGGACTCCCGATTCCGGGTCACATGATTGCTGTGATAGCTTCTGATTGGCTATCACAGTGATCAGTCACTGTGCAGCCTTCCCCCCTTGTTTTTTTCTCTCTCTATGAATGGAGAAGAGAGATACATCGTATCTCTCCAACTCCTGGCATAGAGAGATAAATAAATAAATATTAAAAAATAAAGAAAAAATACCTAGATCAAGGTTTGATCTAGTTCAGTGCCAGGGTTAGTGTGTGGGTCAAATGTCAAGGTCAAAAGCTCAGGGTCAAAGGTCAGGACTTAAAAAAAATTGGTATCAGTGTCAGTTAGTGTCAATGTCAGTGTGTGTTAGATAAAAAAAAAAAAAAAAGACAAAAACAAAATGCGCGCTATTGTTTCTGGGCTGTACTACGGGTACAAACAACAAATAACATACATATATATGGTATCGCTGCAATCATCAAGAGCTGGAGAATTTTTTTTGGGTTATTCTTTGGTGGTAGGTTATGGTAGTAACAAGAAACACACAGCTAAATAAAAAAAAATATTTTTTTTTAACTATTTTGGTCCAGTTTTCCTTTGATAAAAAAAAAGAAAAATCAGGAGATATCCATTATGATTTACCACCAAATGAAAAAAACCCAATTTGTCCTAAAAAAAAACCAAGGTATAATTCACCTGGATGTACAAAGTAGTTGTGATGATATGTACGGTTTTACTAACACATATCAATGTTGCAAAATTGTGCTTAGGCATTTAGATTTGTTTTACCATTAGGCGTGAAAGGGTTATAGTAGATCTGAGGGCATACTTTTTTTTAAAATTCATTTTGAATCAAGTAATGCAGGGTTATGATCCCTGTGGCCTTTTTTTGGCCATCTTTGTACCATTGGTGAAATTTCCCTTCACTTTATCTTTATAGCCACAACAGGAAGTGAGAGGAGATCCCTCTAAACCAAAGGAAATCCCTGGTAGTCCCCAGGATCCTCAGAATTAGCTATTTCTCCTCTTTTCTTGTTCTGGTGACCACTCTATATTTGATATTTTCTTTCACTTTTGGTGACATTGGTCAGAGGGACTCATGGAGAGCAATATGAACATGATAGAAAAGTATTGCCTTCAGTTATAATTTGAGTCGATGTATTATGACATTTCTCGACGTTAGGTAGTGTGACCAGGCTATTCCACTGATAAATGGAACAGTGGTAATGTTTCAGCAAATTAACATATGATTTATAAGCATATAAAAGCTGGAGAGCCACTGGAACTGAGCAGCCAGCAGAACCACCAAATGCTAAAATCTCCAACAAATACAGAAAATTTGGTGTCTATGAATTATAATACTTTATAACCCTTTGTTCTGCCCTATGGATGAAGCACATATCTTGTTTTATTGTTATATCAAACCTTACAGAATGCACTTTTTGTGTCTGTAGGCATTTTACCCACATGGGCCCCAGTTCCTCTGGAAACATCTACTGTGGCAACCCTTCCTGAAAACAACTGCACAGCCAATGAACATGTCTGTAGGTCAAGTGGGCATTGCATACCCACCTCAAAGCTCTGTGACTTTAGAGAGGACTGTCTAGATGGCTCTGATGAAGCAAGTTGTGGTAAGTAAATAACTCAAATAACTCAAATATGAATGAATCGCATTATTTCTGATCTTAGAAGGATTTTTGGTTACAAACTCTTGTTTCCCTATAAAGAGTATAATTCAGCATTTAAATCTGTTCCCAATATAAAACATACATTGTATTTTTAGTGAGCACATGTATTAACTGAGGTATTTATCTTTGTGAACCTGTGGCTTGAATTTGCACATTCAAGTATTTTTATATTAACAAGCAGTAGCTTTAAAACAAGTTGACATGTGTAACTGTGTACACTGTGGAGCAACTGATTCTCAAAGTAAATAGCAAAAGCACAGAAGTCAGCTTTCTCAGCAGCTTAACTCATCCACACAGCAACAACTCAGAAGCTCAACTTTGCTTCCACTTCTCAGAGCTCCTGCTTTGTTTGTACATTAAATATTAGAAGTCTTGAAGGCTGCTGAGTGACTACCCGGAGGGTGAGGTGAGCTGCCGAGTCACTGCTACTAGGAGGAGGGGGGTGAGCTACGCTGCTTAGTCACTGCTTGGAGGGGTAATCTGAGCTGCCCCATTCATACCTAACCATTTTATTGTGCTTGTGCCAAAGCACAACATCATTCAACAGGTAGATTCCCTATTAAACTGCTAATAGAACAGCTTAATGGACTTGAAGATTAATTGTTCCTTAGTATCTGCAGCTACAGAGGTCACTGAAAGCTTGTTTAAAGCTCTTTTACTGTTCGCTAAGAATTTGCAAATATGTGAATGTTCATGTCCTGGCCACAGGTTCATTTTAAGGGCTCATTTTTAGCACCCCCATAAGATACAATGGCAGTGGAGAGGGGATGTTCACATGCTACAATCATCATGTTTCTCTTTGATTCCATGGCAAAAAGCATTCCACATTTCGTGCAGCAAGCCCACTGAACACCACCCATTCTTTGATCCTTAGATAAACCTTTAAAATTGATCCACCTTATGTAAATAATCCTATCGGTGTATTTTAATATTTTCTTGCAAGGAATTCTCTTGGTTCAGTGATGTAATGCACAGCATACTGCGAATCCAGAAAAAGTACAGTATCATGAGATTTGAAAGATAAGGATGTGGGAGGCTGTCTACCATTTTATACATGTATTCAATGACAGCCT